AACCCAGCAGTTCCTTCTTACTGCAGTGCCTTGCTGTGCTTGTCAGCACAGTCTTTTCCTCTGTGCTCTTGGTTCCTTCCAGACGGTGGACTCCAGAGGGAGTCTGCCAGTGGGATCCTCCCTCCAGACATGGACCCAGATGCCTTTAGGATACAGTCAACTGCCCTCAGAGTGTAGAGGACACTGACCATTCAGGGTTCTGGTTTTGTGGCCTGGATCTGTCATTTAAACCCAATAGGAGAGCATCAAGAGGTAAAGCAGATCTGAGTTCGTCTAATACAAGAAAAGTACAGGGGCTGGCCTGTTCACTCAGTTGGTTAGAGCATGGTGCTGACAACATCAAGTTCCAGGGTTTGATCCCTGTACTGGCCAGTTGCCAAACAATAAAAAGGAAAAAGAAAAATATTAAGGCTTGTGCCAATGCCACAGGAGTTAGTTAAGAAGAGAAAGGAGTCTTAGGACTTCTGGAGACATCTCACGTTCTCAAACCAAGGAACTGCTGGCCAAAAAGAGAGGGATGGCCAAGAGGAAACAGGAACATAAGGAAAATGGGAGTGGGAGAGAGACAAGGGTGGGTATGATCTACATATGGCAGGTCACATCCTCTCTTTAAAATCCATCAGGGATTCCATTACACCTAGAATAAAGCCCAAAGTCCTTCCCCTGGGCCTCTTCTCCCTGTGCCCCATCCCTCAGATCTGTTATGCTGGAACACTTCCTCCCAGATCTTCCCATGACTCCAACCCCCCACCTCCATTCAGTCTCCCCTCCGGGGTTACCCCCTCAGAGAGGCCTTCCCTGGCCTGTCAAGCTGAAACAGGATCCCACACACTAGAGTAGGAAGCAGAATCCTGGTGTCCCCACTTCCCACCACCAGAGACCCTCTTCATAGCCTTCTCTTCATGGAGCCTGGGTCTTTCCTGCTTTTCTCTCATCAGCATGGATGAGCCTGGTCACCACACTGAGCTGATCTAACTCCAGAACACAGAGACCTGCTTTGGCCTGAACAACCTGATTTCAGGTAAAGGTAGGTTCTC